CCGAGCTCCTCACACTCCAGGTGGATAACATTGGAGAATGAAATCTGAAAAAGAGAGGAAGAATGAACTTGAAAAAGCACGAGAAGAACAGAAAGTAATGATACAGAGATACTATTTAAAACACACTTTTCTAAACAAACAAAACATTTATCAAACAGGATAAAGCACCTGGTCATTTTCATCCAAGGTTTGCTTCCCGGGGATGAAGATGGTGCAGTACTGAGCATGTGTGAAGGGCATGATTGTGGCAGCCATCTTACTCAGCAGAACATCAAAGGAACAGTGCTTCTTCGACAAAACCTGGGCCATCTCTATCAAGGCCTGACACAAAACACACACACACACACACACACACACACACACACACACACACATACACATACACATACGCACGCGCACGCACGCACGCACACACACACACACACACACACACACACACACACACACACACACACACACACACACACACACACACACACACACACACACACACACACACACACACACACACACACACACACACACACACACACACACACACACACACACACACACTTAGATTACATAGACATTCAATCATAGATATAAATAGATTCGATATTGTCCTCTTATGGTGTTACCTGACTGCGCTTGGCCTCCTGTCTTGAACTTTCATACAGCTGGACATTATCCAGGACCAGCCCCAATACATCCATATGATTTGACAGCACCTAAACATTTAACACATATTTTTTAATACATAATAACATCTGCTGGCCTGCAGTAAAAAGCACAAACCTCTAGTCCTTCACCTTTTCATCCATATTGGTAAAAACAGAAACCGATCCATTGCAGCAATTTCTCTTGTTGATCATTCCTGCTACACCGACCACCTGTTAAAAAAAGAGAGACATTTTTTATGTCTTTACATCGCTAAAAGTTGTATTGTTGCCAGTCTGTATTTTGAACTCTACAATACATCACACTGCTCTATAAGACTGTGTTTATATATTTTCCCTGCATAAGCATTGGGGCATGTGCAATAAAAACATATATTATATCACATTTGAAAAGAAATGAAGACAAATGTTACCTCTCCCCTGTGGTTCTTGATGGGAACAATCAAAACAGTCCTGATCTTTGATGATTGATCGTCATCTAAGCCAAACCTGGGGTCCTGAGAGGGAAAACAATGAACACCGAATTAGTATAGCACTGCAGAAAAGCACACCACTCTTTTAAATCTAAATGCAACACATACTATGTGTCGTTAAAACACTTTTTTCAACATCTTTTCTTATAACTTGGCAGCTAAAAACGTTTCACCCAAACTATACAATATTTGTCGGCTTTCAATGATTTAGCCAGGATTACCCACAATTCGCTTAACCTTGGTGTCCCACAGGTTATGACTAAGTAGCCACCCACACCTAGATAATCTGCCAACTGCTTCCTGATCACATTGCTGGCGAGGAGAAACAGTGTAGGTGTGGGCACCTCCTTTAAGCCTGTAAGTGAGCTGTGCCGTCTTTTCTCTTTCAGTTGGTGAGTGTGCGCATGTGCCAAGGACAGTTTACTGAGTACAGTACATCACTGTCTCAATAGACAGAAGTTAATTGGTCTCAGTCTCTTAAAGGATTAGAAGCAGGTGCGTCATCTGGGATTCCCTCACACATTCACACTGCATTAAATTGACATGTCATGGCCTAAAAAAAGGTTAACAGGAAATGGCATTTAGTGTACATTCCTCAATTTAAGGGACATCTTACGCTCAATTTCAGGTTCATACTTATAGGGTTACTGATAGAACATGTTTACATTTTCAAAACAAATATTTGTTCTCTTACTGTCTGTCTGTCTTTCTGAAACGCACTGTTTAAGCCAACTTTCACTTAAGATCCCCTCCGAAAAAGCCTGCTCTGATTGTTTTGCAAGATAAATATGGTGCACCTTTAAAAAGGTAGTGCAGAAACTTAAATATATTTGCACAAGCAGTTAAAAAGTATGTTCAAAATACCATTGCCCTAGAAAAAACAACTTGAGTTATGTGTGGAGTTGATGCAGAGTCATGGAGACTACAACTAATGTGTGAGTTTGTGGGTTTACCCCTGACATGTCTCTCAGGTTCATTGGTGATCCTGTGGCCATTGCACATCCCATGATACCCTTCAGCAATTCCAGGTGTGCATGGCTGTAGAGGTTGCCTTCACTCAAGCACCCCAATGCTGTTGGGGCAACCACCTCCTCCAAGCTGTTGCTTCCACCACAGTCCTTCTTTACCAAAGAGAGGCAGCAACACTCGGCTGCCAGCAGTTCCCCGGTGTGTAGGACAGCCCCCTGGCAGAGCTCTACTACAGAACCCATCGAGCTGAGACCACCTCTCAGGAGCTCCATCATCCATGGGCAGTATTCACCATGGCCACAGAGAGCAGAATTTGTAGCAGTGGGGTACAATGGATGAGGGGAGTGGGGTAAGTCAGGGGAGGAAGGGCGAATGGGAGAAAGACAGGGAGAAAAAGAGAAGCGTGAAGAATGAGGAGGGAATGGAGAACGAGGAGAGCGAGGAGAGCAAGGGCAGTGACTGACCAAAACATCTGGACTGAATCGATCCATGCAATCAGGAGGGGCACTGAGATGGGAGCTAAGGGGTACGGGCCTGTACATCAAGGCTGACATGCGTGAGCTGTTTATTGGAGAGGAAGGTCTGAGATGATGATGACCCTTCCTGAGCAGGTCAGAGTGGTCAGAGCTGCTCCTGGGAACCCTGGGCAGTGGAGATTCTGCCTGTGGGCCGCTGACCCTGAAATTACAGAAAAGACAGATTAGATTACTGATTGGCTGGACAAGGCACCAGAGGTGGAAGAAGTATCTTGTACTTAAGTAAAAGAAGAAGTACCAGAGTGTAGGAATAGTCTGTTACAAGTAAAAGTCCTGCAATCAAAAGGTTACTCAAGTAAAAGTACAACAAATCAAAATATGCAAAGTAACTATAGGTATTAATAAATGCAGTGGAGTAAAAGTACACTATTTAACTCTGAATTGAATTGGAGTAGAAGTACAAAGTAGCATACAATGGAAATACACAACTAAAGTACAAATATCTCAAAACATTTCTCAAGTACAGTACTTGAGTAAACACTTAACGCCTCTGCAAGGCACAGACTTTTCAAATCGTATTCAGAGATGCAACTATCAGTAGTTAATGATTAAAGTAGGCTATAGGATATCTTACGTGGAAGCCCTGCGTAAAAAGTACGACCTCGTGAAGTCGGAGTGGTCATCCAGCCATGCCTCCACTTGGTTGCTCTTCACACCGTCTTCAAACCTGGTGCTGCGCGTCTTCGAGCGAGGGTTCCACAGCGGGGAGAAGAACCAGCTCAAGTCCTTCACTATCAGCGGGGCTGTCACCGTTTCCCTGCGTAAGGACTCCTCTGTCCCAGCGGCAGAGGATGGTCCGGGCGTCGTACGGTCAGGATCCATGCACCCCAGCGATTCAGATTGGAGGCATGGCATCCCCTCGCTCAAGTAGAGCGAAAAAAGATCCGTTAAACTCAGTTTCTTTACCTGGTGAGTTATCTAGGAGAAATGGTGGAGGCTGTGAGGCAGACTAAAGTGCCAAGTGGAAGAGCCCGTGGATACGATTGCGTAAAGGTAATCCCCTGACCTTAATTTACGTCTGGCACCACATAGGTTTATTCATTAAAAGGAACTCATTTAAACTTCATTACAGCTTTGGAACAGGTTCAAAAAACGGGCTTAGCTTCGATTAGCTCACAGGTTAGCCCCCTTTCATAGTTTGCTAAGAGCATTGAGCTACCCGACCACCTGTCCATTAAACTTGATTGACTTTACCATTATTAGTACACTCGGTTGCCCACTCATATTCTGGGATATCTTCACAATAAAAACACAAAGAAACACAGGAGTTAGTCTTACTTCTTGTTAAATAAGTATTTCTGGTCCACTTCTGGTTATAATGTGTCTAGGAACAGTTAACATTTTTAAAGTTAGGAACTGTGGGGTATAAATATAGGTGAATAGCTTTGCTTTAATTAGACTTCTGCTAAGTACTGTGTACGTTGAAGTGTGTTCTGTAACAGCCAACAATGATATTGAACTTAAGGCCAACCCTAAATTCAGACCTATATATTTATTGTACTTTAAGTGCAGCAAATAATGCACAGAAAATATGACCAGTATCGTACAGGATAAGAATGAAGTTACGGTGTTAAGAAAGGATGTCAGTGTGGGGTAAAATCACTTAGTACATGCAGGCTTAAAGAAAGTAATGCTTACAAAGAGGGATGTCAGTAATGTTTTTTTTTTAATGCAAGCGTTGTACATTATCACTTAAGGGCAAGATAACAAGAGACATGTAAAAAGAGTCAGGAAAATCTGTTTTGTTATTGAAAGAATGAACAACAAAAAAGTAATAGGAAATAGCTTTTCAAAATATGTTAGTGAAGAACAAGTTCCATTGAATTGTCACTTATTCCATTGATACACAGTCTCTGAGATGGACGCAATCATTGGTGTGTGTACATTTAATTCATTTTTTAAAGAATGCTCTATTGTTTAAAACGGCTTCCTTTAAAAACCCTACATTTTATTCTGAATCAGTGTTTACACACCACTCATTGTCAAACTGCTCCCTCTGCTGGCCTCTTACTCCCTCATCATCTGCAGTGGGCTGGTCCACGGGTGACAGCTGTGCTCTGATTGGCTGCACCAAGAGGAGGCTGCCATGACACAGTGGATGCTGCACAGAATCACTTCTACAGCATCAGCAGGCAGCGAACCTCCATCCTCCTCATTATCCCTCTCTCTTTCTCTCTTTTTTCTCCTCCTTTGCCTTTCCTCCTCTCACCACCACCCTTGCTCTCTCTTTTCTCTTCCTTCTCCTCCTCCTCGGACAGACACACAGGCCTGCTCAGGCACTCTGCAGCAGAGGACACACACGCATGCCAGCAGGAATAGCAGCAGCAGCAGCAGCAGCAGCAGCAGCAGCAGCAGCAGCAGCAGGCGGACTGGTAGGTGTGCTGAGGCCTGTCTCCCTCCTGCCGCACAGGCAAGACACTGCGTTCTCCTCTGATCTCCGTCAAGGACTATCTATTTGAGAAGTGTGTGTGCGTGAGAGATGGTATCTAGAAAGTAACCAGGGAGAACTACCACACCCTGCAAGCATTTACTACCTCTGCCGGAGCTACACAGGCTGAATGTTACAGTAGACATGTACACACTTATTTCCTCTTCTTGTTTCTGTGTGCATACAGAAGGATTTATATTCTCTCTTTCTCTGCTAGAGCTGTTTGTTGTTTTTCCTCCATTCTACAGCTCTAGGATTTGCTTCAGCGTTGACTAGGCCTTGTTCTTTTGCACACGTGTATCTTTTCTCATGAGTGTCTTGAATGTCTAACAAAGGTCACACCATTTGGTATGCTGTGTGCATGTATTGTGAGCCCGCCTATGACAGCCTACCTCTTTTTTCTTTCCAACTTCACCACCAGCCTTTCTCTCCTCCTCTCACTACCTCACATCTTCTACCTCACCACTTTCCTCTTTCCTGTCTTTCCAATATTTTCTCATCCTCTCACTCCTTTTCTTCTTTCTTAAAACCCGTCTTTCTCCTCCCTCTCCAATCTCATCTCCATCTCCGCTTCTCGCCTCTTCTGCTTCCGGCTGGCTGGTTTTGCAGGATGCCTTGTTCCAGGCCACTCCGCTAGGCCCCAGCAGCATGGGCGCAGCCTGGGCAGGGAGAGAGAGCACGGATCGGACCCTTCCCCTCAGGACGGGTGCGCTGGCGGGTCACCCTACCTCAGCTTCAGATGGGCGAGGACGCTGAGAGCCCCAAAATCAACCACACCTTCCTGCGAGACTACGTCACAGAAGGTAGAACAGACGGTGTGTCATTGCTGTCTATGTGGTGTCAGATAACATGCTGGTATGAGTGAGTGGATTCATTTCAGCTTTGTAAGTGCATTATCGTACCACTGCTAAATAGAGAATGGATGTTGACATTGATCACTTCAGACACTTCATTGTTGGGGCATGTTTTAAAATGTATAAATCATGTTCTCATTGTCTATCCCATCCACATTTCTCTGAATTCTCCACCCTCATTTTCCCTGTGCCTACTTAATCTTCTTGGAATCCTATCATCTTTATATCTCTTTCAGCCATTTGTCTTTTATTCTAACCGTTATTTGCCTCACATTTTTTCTGTTTTTCTTTAGCTGATGTCATCTCTACAGTGGAGTTCAACCAGACAGGGGACCTGCTGGCCACTGGGGATAAAGGTGGCCGAGTGGTCATCTTTCAGAGAGAGACAGATGTGGGTTAAACCTGTAAAATAATCAAAACAATCACCCTATGACCAGGGTGTCCATAAAGCATGACTTATTGGTTACTACCTACCCCCTTAACCACTGCATGCTGGCTTTACCTGCTCTTAAAGACATGCTAAGTATTTTCTAACCTTACACATTAACGTTCTTCCAAACTTTGTTTTCTTCCTCATTTTCCATGGACAGTCTAAAGGGGAGTCCGAGGAGGTGGGGGAGACAGGGGACTCTGGGGAATACAATGTCTACAGCACGTTCCAGAGCCACGAGCCGGACTTTGACTACCTGAAGAGTCTGGAGATTGAAGAGAAAATCAACAAGATCAGATGGCTGCCACAGCAGAATGCAGCACATTTCCTCCTCTCCACCAATGGTGAGAAACCAGTTAACCAAGGACATAAGCTAGATCTCTAAATACAAGTAAGGATTATCTGGTAGACCCGTGTGCAGCTTGTTTGTTGAGATATAGACTGATAAATGCATACGTTTTGATTGATATAAAAAATGACAGGAAGGACTGGCTTCATCCATTACCTAGGGGTTAAATATGACACCAAGCCAGTCATCGGAGTCACATCTGTGGGTCCAGAAGTGGCACCATCCTGCCGGTGTGAAACCAAATATTGTTATATTTGCTTTCATTATATACCTGTAATAAGATGATCATCTGAATTGCTGTGGAAACGAGCTATTTGAGTAATAAATCATTATCAGGTCTCTTCTCCACTGAGTGTCGCAATTATCCTCAGCTTTCTCTCAACAAAATCAACTTCCTGAGATGTGCAAATCTTTCTGCTTGTCACAGATAAGACCATTAAACTGTGGAAGGTGAGTGAGAGAGACAAGAGACCAGAGGGATACAATCTGAAAGATGAGGAGGGACGGCTCAAGGACATCTCCACCATCACCTCTCTGCAGGTACACACATAAATACACACACACACACACACACACACACACACACACACACACACACACACACACACACACACACACACACACACACACACACACACACACACACACACACACACACACACACACACACACACACACACACACACACACACACACACACACACACGGAAGCCCATAAAAGGTCACCATTATTGCCATCTGCCATCAGGTTAATGTTGTAGCGACCTCATGTGACCCCTGACTCTCAAGTCCTATACCCTGTGTGTCTTGTTTTCTTTCTATCACCCTATTTCTTACCCCCTCTCTCTTTCCGCCTCTTTCATTCATGCGCTCTCTGTCTATCTTATCCAAGGTGCCGGTGCTGAGACCCACAGATCTGATGGTGGAGGTTCGTCCCAGACGTGTGTTCTCAAATGGACATACCTACCATGTCAACTCCATCTCAGTCAACAGCGACGGGGAGACCTACCTGTCTGCTGATGACCTCCGCATCAATATGTGGAACCTGGGCATCACGGACCGCAGTTTCAGTATCCTTCTTAACAGTTATTGTTTTCTTCATCATACATATTTATTTTTGTATGTAACATAATCTTTTACTCAAGGAAGGTTTGAAATGCCCAGGCGGGCCATGTGGTGATTTCCCATTCAAATGGAAGCTGACCTAGAAAATCAAAGAAGCATCTATGGAAGAAGAGTTTAAATTATTCACTCAGCAGTACACTTTCTACTGAACCACACAGGACTGACACAAATAGAACAGAGAGAGGAGCGCAGTGTGCATGCATATTGGGGGTTGGTTGGGAAGCATTTTTTGGGGTTCTGATTATAAATTGAGGTGTTGGGAGAACATGTTGGAACTGAAGAAATTAAACATTCATACAATACTGAAAAGGATGTAAGATAAATGTGATGTCCCTCACTCTGCCCTATTGTGTATGTCATTCCTCTGCAAATGTGCCTTGTCCCTCTACACTGCAAAAGTATTAGGCCATATTCCACAACATGTGTCATCACACTTTGTCTATCCTAGAAGCCTTTGATACTCATAAGGCTGTGGTTTCATCTCTGTGATGTTTAGTCCCTAACAGACCTCTTTCTCAGATATTGTTGACATCAAACCAGCCAACATGGAGGATCTGACGGAGGTGATAACGGCAGCGGAGTTCCACCCCCACCACTGCCACCTGTTTGTGTACAGCAGCAGCAAGGGGACCCTGCGCCTCTGTGACATGAGATCTTCCGCTCTCTGTGACAGACACACCAAACGTGAGCATGTTGTGGACATTCACAACATTTTGCAAAACAAAATATGCAATGATAGTTGTGAATAATCGATCACTCTGTCATTGGTCAGTGTTCGAGGAACCTGAGGATCCAGGGAGCCGGTCCTTCTTCTCTGAGATTATTTCCTCTGTGTCGGACGTCAAGTTCAGCCACAGTGGACGTTACCTGCTGACCAGAGACTACCTCACCGCCAAGGTGTGGGACCTGAACATGGACAAGGGGCCTGTGGAAACGTACCAGGTATGTTAGCTCATCTGCTCCCTGATCTTTGTCTCCTCCATGTGTCAGTGAAAAGCTGAAAATCTTTTCCTCCTTGGCCACATTTCTAAAAACGGGGGTACAACGGAGCTGATCCAGATTTGCTGCGGTCATGATGTAATATCAGAAATGTGGGCTGGCTTCAGAAACGTCTCTGTATCAGAAACAATGCGCAACGTGTTTTGGACGTAATATGGTCTTTGTTTACATTAGCAAGCATCGCTAACACTCAGAGCTAACCTGTACTGGAGAGAGTATGCGTAAAAAAAGCAGGGTATAAAAAGGAACTCACCTTGTGGTAAACCCGCAAGAGAAAAAGCATTTGAGCTCCATACTGTTTCAGAAATAATCCTTGATGTGGTTTGGAACACAATATGGCGTTTAACCACAGCAGCGTTTAGCTGAGTATCTTGGTAGAATTCTCGTCTCTCTTTTTTTTTCTTTTTTTTTTTAAAGCTACAAACCCAGAATCAGCACTTCTCTAACATGACTGAAATAGAGGGGTATGAGGCATGGCTAGAATGGGTGATCTGTTTGGTATTTTGAGCCAAACACTTCAGAGACATGTTTTTTATATATCTGAGACCTATAATATATGTCTAAAAATAGTATAATAAGAGACCGTTAAATGTAAATATGTCCAGTAACTGTAACCATTGTAGCCTGTATTTGTTGAATATGACATGCAGCTTGTTATTGTAGATGTTACACTTTTCATGTTGTCGATCCACTAAACCACCATGTATAGTTCTGATCTACCCCAGGAACTAAGGTTGACTGTCTGCTCGATCCCCAGGTCCATGAATACCTGAGGAGCAAGCTGTGTTCCCTCTATGAAAACGACTGCATCTTCGACAAGTTTGAGTGTGTTTGGAACAGCTCAGACAGGTAAGTGGCAGAGATAAATGGCAGCAAAGAAAGACAAAGTACAGTATATTTAATTCCATTAGAAAGCAAAAGAGGGGGAGTGTGTCAGTGTGTTTCTGCTTTCAGCAATCCCCTATATGCTCTGCCTCTGCCATTATCCGACATTTAAATCAATCCCAGAGACAGGCTTTGCAGACATCTAATCAATCCGTGTGCTTTCAATTTACTTTCTTTCTTTTCACTTTCTTACCCTTCTGCGAACCATACTTTTTCTTCTGTTCGATATTTTCACTGCATTCTCTTGCCCTTCTCAATATGACATCTCATTATTTCAATCTCTCTTTTCCTCAGCGTAATCATGACAGGGGCGTACAACAGCTTCTTCCGGATGTTTGACAGGGAGACGGGGCGAGGCGTAACCCTGGAGGCTTGGCGAGAAAGTAGCAAACCTCGGGCAGTGCTGCGGACCAGACGTGTGTATAGCGGCGGTAAGCGGCGCCGCGGAGATGTCGGCGTTGATAGCCTGGACTTTACCAAGAAAATCCTGCACATGGCTTGGCACCCATCTGAGAACATCATTGCCATAGCAGCCACCAATAACCTGTACATCTTCCAGGACCGTGTCAACCCTGAGACGCAGTTACAGTGACAGAGATGGGATTATGGACAATTACAGACACAAAGAAGTACAAACAGTGACCCAAATATATTTGGATGTCTTACTGACGACGTTGGAAGTGGACACCCTCTATAAGATGATTAAGTAAAAAGAAAGCTGTTTCACATCTGGAGATGCAACATCTGTTTGTGTTGCAAGGTCGGAAAAATAATATAATCACAAGACTGTTAGTGTATTTGTTCAACACTGAGATAAGTTGACATCTCCAGAACCCATCAGGACATGTTTTTGTTTCCACTTCTCCCATTTTTAGATCTGCTCCACTGTAGGGGCACTAAAAGAGGTGCGGGGACACCTCTCCATCTGTAATGACTCCGTGCTGTTGACCACACAATGTTGCACTCCTCACTGATGTGCTCTGGTATCTTTGGACACCATATATAAAGTAGGAGAATGGTAGTAACAGAGAGGGAATGAGATGACGGATTCACAATTATTTTGCCAGAGTGATTTTATTATACAGCTCTTCACAACAACATCCTGAACCCCTTCTTTTCTCTCTATCGGGTGACAACAGCAACCGAACCTCTCCTTTTAGAGCAGTGCTCTTGGAGATATAATTCATAAATGCCCCATCATTTTTGCCATATCCACTTTGCAATAATAGCACTAACAAAAACACAGTGCAGCAGTATTCCTGCTTTAAGATATTGGCTCTTCTTCTACAGGTATACACTATATTTACTCTTAGCTGTAAATATTCAATGTTCTTTTTTTAAGGTGGAACCAATGTTGGATCCAGACAGCTAAAGGATGCATTTTTTGTCTAGTTAGTACACTGCATATAAACCAGGGATCCAATGTATAGAAGGATTGCAGAGTTGCACTATTTCTGTTAAAGACTCGATGAAGGGGCTTCTTCTTGTAGCAGTACATAGAAAGGTATTTCTGGCTGTGGCCAGCTAGGGTTGAATTGTGCACAAACCAACACTCACGGTTTTGTTGTGTATATAAAGCCCATGTTAGTTTTGATTAACGTCCCATTCTTGCCTACATACAGTACCTGTGCTGTAAATTACAGAAAATGAGAGCGACAGTGTGTGTGTCGAAGTGAGTCTGATTTGTGATTCCTTCTAAAATAGACAATTGTTGAATTTATGCTGAGTGTTATGCTCATTTAAAATGGGCATCAGCAGATTTGTAAGAGGTCTCTTGGAATCAAAGAAAGGATGGAATCAAGGCACATTTGTTTTTAGATGAGGCTCCTGATTTAACTAATCAACGTTTTGATGAGTGAGTTTGTGTCCAGTGTATTTGAAGGTCAAAGGTTGTCATCAGTGCAATAGGTTATGTACATTGCGAAAAATTACTTTAGCATTCAAACCATGTCTTGTGAAATGATCATGTAACAGATTGGTAATGTTATTATACCATATACCACACAGTGCCACATGCAACTCTGAAGAGGATAGCTTAGGATGTAAAGCATTAAGGCGATGTCTGTGTTGGACTAAATTCTGTGACTTGGTCAATATTTGATTGTTTACAGTGAAGTGCATTGTTCTCAAGTGGCCTTGGCCCAGGGGGAATTAGAAAATCAGTGCAGAGGTGAAGGTTGCACTTTCCAGTACTGATGGATAAACCACAGTTTCAAGGTGTAAACCTTAGTCTCAGAGAAAAGAAGGAAAGTGTTAGTATGTTTTGATTGTTTGCTCTCTCCTCACTACTCTCCTCCTTTTGTTTCAAAGTCCCAGATATTTATGTTCTGCTGCTATGTTTTGGTCTTCACTGTCCTCCAGTGTTGTTGAACGCAGAAGCGGTCTTGCTCTGATTGGTTTAACAAAGTGTAAAACACAACAAAATCCACAATGACACGACAGGCCACCTGAGGCATTATATTAGGTCCAACTCTCAGTCCTCCTCTGGTGAGCGGTAGTTTAGAGCAAGTCAGCTGTAATCACATCAGAACCATCATCACCATCATCACCACATGCAATGTGTGAAAGGGTTTGTGTTCAGGAGCACAGCAGCTGCATGTTGCCATTATGCTACTAGCGTGTATATCTATCATACTTTTAAAAAGAAACGTCTAACATGAAAAAAACACGACTCAAATGAGGTGAATGAAAGGAATGTGCATTAATAAAATAACATTAAATCTGACAAAGTAATGTATTGGATCGTTTTATGTCTTTGTGTATATATTCATTGGACATTTTATTTTTTCATCAATGAAATGCTTTCAGACTATGAACCTGAAAAAAGCATCCGTGTGGAAGTTTTGTTTGAAAGACAAGCACTTTATTATATTGCACGCTCCCATAAGCTCCATTACTGAATAAAGAAGGCACTCATATTCACAGTATACAGGCCCGAAATCAATGATTTTCATTCAAAAGGTGAATTGAGGTTACAGTTTAATACTGTTCATATATATGGCTTTTTATGCATTGCAAGTATTTAATGATAATCATATGAAAAACAGCCACATCTTTAGCTTTGATTAGACTTTAGCTTTTCTGATGATTTGAAATGTACAGCTCAAAAATATTTAATCTGTTTAATTAAGTCGAATAATTTGCTCAAGCAATAAAGACATACTTAATACTTCTATTTATATAGTGAGGCAACGTTGCATATTTTAAATCTGAGGCAATTTATTCGTTTTTTTTATTATCGCAACACCAGGATAATGTAAAGGCACTCTGTACTATATAGCAAAACAAGTAATTTCAAATATTCACACTACTGGCCCTCTATTTCTACGGAATGAACTCTGTTCAATGTTTTTTTGGTATGTCTACAGTCGGATTAACCACCCAAAAAATAATTTACTTTAAGAAGTTTCACCTACCGGTGAATTCAGTCGCTTCACCCTTGACATCTTAGCTGTGGCATTTTGTTGTTGGGTATGAAATACAAACCATGAAACTGAGACTACAGCTGCATACTTTGACAAGTTTGTGGGTTTATATACAGCCTCACTGCAAACGTGAAGAAAAAACAAGGTCAATGTTTTAAGTTTTTAAGTTGAAATTGAATGCACATTGTAGCTTAAGGCACAGGACAATCTGATCATCAATTCAAAATAAGATTAAGACCAGAAACTTTTAAGACAACAGAGCCAGATAATGTTTTGCTAACAGACCCAAGAATAAATAATATGTCACACAACCTACATAAATAAATAGCCAGATGGACATTTACATCACACACATACTGTACATGCAAACATATTCCTAATATGAGTAAGACATTCCTTAAAAGCAGCAACAATATTGCTTTATCAAAGATACATTTCACTCTGATCTTTGATTCTCAACAAGTGTACCGTATCTTTAGTAGAAATCAGCACTTAACAAAAGCTTCTTTGCATACAATCTGGCACCTTCAAATTACAGATTTGTATCCAATGTAAAACAATACTGGAAATTGAAACGTGAATTTACAAGGTCATACTTTAATGTTGGATAAAAAAAAAGAAAAGAATACTTTTTTTTGTCCCTGGGTTTAACAGGATTAAAGCAAGTGTGACAGAAGTCTAAACCCAAAGCTGATAACTGACCGTTATTGACTGCTTTTAAGGTATGTGAACCATAGAAGTGAAATATTTGTAAACTCATGCACTACCATAAAAAACGTTAAAGTTACGATAACTATTACATTGTTAAAAAAGCAATACGTAAACATGAACTGTAGATCCATGTAGGATCAAATTGTAAACATTACCACAAGTTACATAAGTAACATGATCACAATGCAAAAAAAAAGAAGAGCATAGTTTCCTGAAGAGATGTAAGTGAATCCTTAATACTTTAGCTTGACTGTCGTGTTGACTTACTTATGATGTGTTGATTTTTGCTGACAGGAAGGGAGAAAAGAAAAAATCAAAGGCAAACTTCAAGGCTCTCATTGTGGTGCGTCTCCAGTCCCCTTCTATCTTCACCTGCCTGCCTCCAGTCAGCAGAGACGAAACACAGTCCAGACAGCGAATTGCCTTCAACTCGAAGGAAGGAGCTTTGTCTCCTAGATTTCCGTCCAACTTGGTGCTGAACTCCACCATATTACCAGGATTTATGTTCAGCAGAACTTGTTTGAACTCATGGCTGGCTATTAGGACTATATCCCTGGCTGGGTCTTCCACAATTGCATCCCCGATCATCCCTACTGTCACCGCAAAGAGGTGGCTGTCAAAGCGCTTGATGTGGCAGGTGTGCTTGGCCAGAGCCTTAATCTCACACATCTCTTCCTCTTCTTGTGTACCGAGCAATATGGGCAGTGAAAAGGTAGCAGATGCATCCAAATTGGCAGCCGTTAGGTTTGCAACTGTATCATTCTTTGGTTCACATTTGGGATACTTCTCTCCATATAAGCAGCGCAGCCAGTCTCCTAAGAACACTGGCAACATGTTGATGACCGACTGTGCCCCGTTATCCGTATCAGCCACCCGGACATGCTTAAAACGGCCTATCCAGGTGACTCTGTGGCCATGCAGGTGGCTACAGAAGAGCTGCGTTTGGGCCTTGCCTTTCAATTCCCAGGCAGGTGGCCCGCACACCTGACTGTACTTTCTCCAAGTCAGTGTGGAATTGTACACTTTCTGTCCCTCTGCATGATACACATAGATAGAGAAGAACAGGATCACCATGGAGATACAGAGTAAGATGAGTTTGACTGGGCCGCGGTGGGTCAGTGAGTGGAAGACATCCAGAATAGACATGCTGAACCGTGTCCACAGCCGTAGGGTGACGGGGATGGCACAAACCACCAGGGTCACAATCACCTTCATCAGTTCCAGCTCCAGGAACCACTTGAAGACCTGGATTAAGAGCATGGCAGCGAGGCCAAAAGCCAAAACAGGCAGGGCAAACAGGAAGAGGAAGTAGGCCACACAGGTGCGCATTAGACCCACGGCAGAGGAACTCTGGAGGAGCACCACAGAGAACTCACACCACATGAAGCACACAAGGTATGGAACCAGGAAGCAGTACGTCCCTCTGAAACCACGCATCCTGGCCATGCTGAAGGTGGAACAAAGGGAAAGAGGAGAAAATAAATATATATTTTCAAAGGGTAAAAATAATAATTAAAAAAAGACTTGGACTGGACTTTAAAGCCCATTGACACAATCCAGTATTTGAACTGTTATTAAACAAACATCCAATAGAGCACTTTGCTCCTACTTACCTGAAAAACAGATAGAACAGGTAAACATACAGCAGGCAGGGGAGACTGAGCTTCAGCACCACTGACTCCCCTAGTGGCAGTGTGGCAACGGTGCGCCCCAGCAAACGGAGCACTGTCATTTTCTCTGGCAGGAACTGGGTCAGGCAGCACAAAGACGATGCGACCTGGATTAAAAGTACAAACAAAAACTTGATTTAGTTCAAGCTAAACTTTAAAAACTTGAGAATTCACACAAAACAATACTAAGGGTTTCTTTGAAGTTCGAAAATCGACAAACTACTAACTTGCTTTATTCTGTGTTGAAGTGTAACTGGTAGTAATATTGGTGAATATACCCGTGTGATTTTATGTTAATAGGATAAAACGTGCAAAACTGTGTTTCTGATCATAATGTTGTGCCAGTGTTGGCTAACCTCTATGACCATTGCCCGGCGTGCATACGTCGCAGCAGTGGGGCTGAGGCTCTTGTAGCTGATGGCAGTGAAGAATATGGCCACAGTGGAGAGTTCAGAACAGGGGATCCAGCCCTTATCAGCAACAGGGAAGGAGAAAATGACGAGGAAAACGGACACAATAAAGTAGAGGTATGGTTCAAGGTTGTTCCAGCCAAAGTTGGTCTCTGCTTGCTCCACATCCAGGCTGGGTTCAAAACGTGTCAGAAGAGATGTCAGGGCTCTGAAGTTCTCCCAAGTCTGTGACAGAAAATGGAAGAACAATGATAGGCCAAAGAAAAAAAAGACATTGCTAAAAGTTATAGGAGGAATATGGGACATTGGGCATTTGGGCACAAACTACTTTTGTTGTTGTGTCTCTTTGTATTTGTTAAGTGCCTCTTTTTACTCATTAAGTGTGTACTTGAAGTTGTTTTGTGTGTGTTATTTACGTTTCTTTGCATTTGGCATCTCTTAATATTTGGTATGTGTCTCTTCAAGTGAAATCTTTGGATTACAGCCATGGGGGGCTCTAAATCTTTATGCCCCTGGGCGTGTCCCCATGAATACTTTGAGTTAAAAATAAGATTTTTTAATATCCATAAAGCAGTACCACCAAAACTGCACATTTCGATTTCATGTTATTGCAACAGGTCAGATTTATTAGAATATTGGTGTGATTTTTGACACTTAAAAAAATGACTGTATGACTCTACTTAATGAGTTTCCCACTGGCATAGTTGGTAAAAGAGGCGTTGACAAAAAGGAAAACTTCCAACATAATCTACTTGACAGAACAGAAAACATGTAGAACAAGAATGCTTTTTGCAATAAAAAGAAATCACCTTGCTGCTTTGGAAAACACGCAATGTGCAGATGATCATAGAGATGAAGGACAGGTAAAAGACGAGTAAGGGGATGACAAAAGCAAACAAGTCAACTGTCAGGTTGCTGATGATGAAAAAAAAAATAAGAGCGTTGACGTGTTGCGTGGGGATGGCTGTGCTCAGCCACTGGACACCGGCCCGAGACGCCCAGTCCACCAGGTGCTGTTTCATCTCAATGATGGCATGCAGCGGGTACTGCAGAATCTGAAGTGAGGAAAAACAAATATACAGAGAGACCAGAGACATTATCATTCAAGAACCAGGAAAGACAATTAAGTCAACAAGCATAAAACATCCACAACAAAAGGTAATGAAGGATACTTTAAGCAGTATAGAATGAATTGTTACACTAGCTATGATTACCATTAAGCGTGATTTCATGTCCATGGCTTTTTGCATTCCCCCATTGTCCATCATCCCACTTCGGCCAAAACTCCAAGATCGTTTATAGGCCTTCTTGCATGTCGATGGTACCAGCTCAGCTTTCTGCTTTAAACACAATATCAGAATAGTTACAATTAAACATATAATGTCACCTGTGTGTCTCTATGATGACACATAACTTTTTATTTTTGCTGATGTGGTCTTTCACCTCCTCTCTTCTGTCATTAGGCGTATACGGGCTTTCAGTCTTGGCCTCGACCTGGCTGTCAGTTTGAGATGTAGAGGGGACAATACCTTGTGCATACTTTTTAGTCATCTCTACAAAGTCATCCAGGTCGACCATCTGAGAAGCTAAGACCACAGAAAGGAAGCGGTTATAAAAGCAAATGTATTATATTCTTGGTTTGTGTGTGTCCTCTGTCCGCATACTTACACTTATTGTTGACCATGCTCTCCAATACTTTCAGGGTCTGGCCTGAGGTTGGGACAGGATTCCTGCTTGCAGTGCCACCTACTGTTAAAGAATGACCACAACAACAGTTAAAAATATTTTCCTGGAGGCCTGCATGTAATGTGATATTCTTCAACATGACAGCTGCAAATACTGAAATGATAAAGGGGAATATGTGATATACTTGACCCAATGGAAGCTATCATTACAAGATGCTACTGCAATCTGAGCAGTCCGTAAGGCTGGATTGTTGTCAAAATTCATAAAAGGCTCGATATGGTGTTGATGTAGTCTTTGTCCACATGACTTTAATTCTGTGTATAGGCATGTTGTTTAAGAAATGTCAAACAAATAAAATATATTTGCAGGTTAGGTATAACCCTTCATCGTTATAATCTTTTTTATTTTGTATTACAGTTCGATATTCATCCCACCTGGCACTGCATTGACCTGTCCGACATTTTCCAGCATCTCAGACACAGCCACCTTTTCCTTCCTCTCGGGATTCAGTTTCCAGTACATCATCATGGCTGCTTTACGCACAGCCAGCTCAAACCTACTCTCTGTTGCCAACTTGCGCACGTCCACCTCATTTTCTGGGGTGATTCCTAGTAGAGGATGACAGACAAAGAACAGTTAAGAAACTATAAACACAATTACAGTTTATTGTATTTTGTAAAGGTACCTTTTCTCTGGATCCAACAGCGCTGCAGTGCCCTTGATGCACCTTTTCTTCCCTGTTTAGCTGCTTTAATCAGCCAATTAACAGCCAGACGACTATTTAGTTCTGTGTCCTTATCTTCAGAAAGAAGCAAGTAGTGCTGAGCCAGCTGAAATACAGACGGGGAGATGATATTAGGGTGGGGGCTTGATCTAACTTTATCTAAGTACAGTCACACAAAGTCAGCCATTAGTTTGCATGATACTCAAGGCACACTATTTGTATTTCTTTGGTAGAAAATGGTGACAATCTGAAAGTTCAAAGTGAAGTACATGTAACACAACAGATGACTAAACAACCCATAATTCCCTGTCGCTGTGGCCATCAGTGTCAATGTTTGTCAATGGCAAACAGCCTGGGGGAGGCAGGGCCCCAGAGGCATATCAAGTGACTGTTTTCTAATCTTAACTGTCATTTCATAACTTTCTTCTCTCACAGTTATCATTAAATGTGCTTGTTTATAGGGGGACGAGATCATGTGAAACCACATGAATATATTTCTGTCTGTGTTAGATACAACAAGCCTATCATCTCAAAAACCTGATTTATTAGAACGCATTTCAGGTTTCCAAGTTCTTTAATGTCATGTCAAGTGGGTAATGTCATGTGCACAATAACTACAATAGAGCAGTCATTTTCACATTTTGGATCTCAGGTTCCCCTCAGTAATGCTCATTAAATATATATGTGAAATATCAAATTGACAATGTAGTCGCGCTTCTCTCATACTGTAAATATACCTTACTTTAATGTACTGTGTATGTTCGCATAGCATGTCTTACATAATGCACAGCTTGTCTATTATAGTATAGGAGACAGCGTTGGATCATCTTATCTGTTCCTTAATGTATGTACATCCATGTACTGTCTTGGTCTGGGCACACATTTTGACATGTTCCCTTACACACACACACCCTGTGGTTATTTAGGTTATTGGTATTTGAAAATACATGACATGTAGCACAGGAAAGATTAAGCCACATACTGTAAGAAGCCACAAGGAATGTACCCTTTCAGAGCTAGTGGGTATTAAATGTAAAGGCTCATCTTCCACCTCAAGCCCCCCCTTTTTCTGCTGCCAGCACCAGTGCATATTTTAATATTTACAAATTCAGTGCAGTACTGCAATACACTGTAAAAGTGTTCATAATGATTTGTATGTCCGAAAGTGTTTTGGTGTATCATATGAAAAGCATGGAATCATCTTCCAAGTGGACAAAAATAGACACATGCTCACAACCAGACTGAGGCAACCAGCAGGACTGAAAACAATGCCAAGTGCCAGTCTGGGGGATTTAACTCACCCGGGTCTGGGCTCTGGCATCACCCGCAGTGGCCTTCTCTTCCAACTGCTCCAAAGACAAATCTTCCTCTGGTTCGTCATCTGGAGGTGAACAGAGGGGATCAAAAACGACTCTCTCAATCAATGGATTACATAAAACTGTCACTGACAAACTTGTATCAGAGAGTGCCTGTAATGAAAGAGCAGTGGGACACAGTGCTGATTTGTAAACTATATGTTAACGGCCAGTGATAAATGAATCCCCGTGACTTATCTTGTAACATGAGAATAACTAGAAGTCAGAGGATCAATGTGCAAATAGGTACATCTGTCTTTCTGAGCAGACATCCTGTGACAAGACCCGAGAGCTCCTTCAACACTGTTCATCGATACTATGTCACACCATTACTTGTAAATTGCATTGCGTTTCATAACTGCTTCTGTCAATCCAGTGTCCTTTAAGCACAAGGGTTCATCCTCTTTGACTGTGTTCCTATTTCAAATGTCTGAAATAGTTTGTTTCACTTCCAGCAGGGGGAATAAAAACATCAGAGTTTAAATGAGTAATTATTCAAATCAGTTACAAATAAACCTATAGGTATCATTACTTGTAAAATGTAAATTGGTTCCTTAAAAGTCCTTACAAAAGGTGAGTACTCGATGTCTTCAACAAAACAAAAAGGCTAGCCAATACTAGCATGTGAATCTTTACATAGGCACAACACTGCTTTTAACTAAATGCTAATGTCAGCAAGCTAACATATTCACAAAGACAATGCTAACATATGGATCTCTTATCATGCTTTCACATGATACGGTACAGGGAAATTGGGTCAATAAAAGGATTACCAAACTTTGAAAAATGGCATGAAATATTCTCAGAACCATATTTACAGTATATAAACCTCATAGAAGCGCCAAATAAAAGGTAAGGGATCACCAGTCATTATAATTCATGGTCTGGGCACTATGGATGTCTGTACCATAAGTCATGACACACCAGTCGATATCATGAAAAGCCAAAAATGCCAACCTGCTGTTGGTGCTAGAAAAAGGGACCATGGAAACACTTCTAGGATTCATCCTTTAGAATATAAGCACAGACATTCATGCCAATTTATCTTATAGTGGCTGAGATATTTCAATTTGGACCAAATAGGAGATCAACCAACCATCAGCATTACTAAAGAAGTTCACCAAGGCATGTGTTCCATGCACGGCAAAAGGGAAGACGCTGCCAAAGTATTTGTACATATGCCGACTACTTTTAACCTGCCAGTCATACAGTAAAGAGGAGAAGGTAATGTATATGTGGAGGCCCTTACTCTCTCTATAACTTCAGTCACTGAGTAAAACCAGTAGTCAACACAGTGTAGATGTCGAATTAAATGGAGCCATTGGATAGTAAAAACACCATTATTTAATTTAATGCAATTGCTGTATTCATGTCTGTTTATGTATGACACATGTTATGCATAGAAGCAGCCCAAGTTGCTTTACAAAACAAGATTAAGGTGACTAAGTAAAGATAAATAGATGTTTATCCAAGACGGGTTAACTCTGCTTTGATAACTTTTTAGGAGTGTCATTTAATCAAATACTCAAAGCAAAGGCATTCTTACCATCTTCTATATCCTTTTCATCCTCCTCGGCTTTCCTTAGTCTTTCCTGTATTATTACCCGCTTGGCCATGGAGGCAAAGGTGAGTTTAACAGTAGCGCTGGAAGAAGTTGCAGGATCCACAGTGGAAGCAGGAGGGGAGGAAGAGTCAGAGGAATCTGTTTGAGTGTTAAGAGCTATGGTAGCAGATGTGAAGGAGACAGATTTGAGTTTGGAAAGGGATGACATTTTTGGGATTTCAGGAGCAGAGCAGTTTGCAGTTTTGTTTGGAGGAGGAGAGGAGGGTTTAGGTGCAGGTTCAGAGAGCACAGTGGGACTTAATAGCTTTGAACCCTCTAAAGAAGGAAGGGAAGAAATGGTGTGAGCGGATGTTTGAGAGGAGAATTTACTGGGTTCTAAGGTGGTCTCTTTTGAGGATGAAGATTTTGCAAGGTCAGAGGCAGTAGCAGAGATGTTATTGGAGACTACAGGAGGAGAATTGATGGGGGAGGGAAGAGAGGGTCCATCCAGGATAGGGCATGCCCCCTGGGTGTTGACAGCAGTAGATAGGACATCATTCTCCATATCTTCTGGAATTAAAAGAAAAAAGTTGTTAGTAAATGATCATGTAGCTAATTTCAAGCATACACTGTAGCAAAAATAATCTAGGTCATTTATAATAGTGAGTGGTAAGTGAAGACACAGCTGTGGGCCTGACACTGTGAGCTCCCTATCAGAGAGGACAACATCCTCTGAATAGTTTGCACCTAAAACATGACACCTTAGGGAGTTTTGACAGGGATAGAAACATGAGTGAATCCGTGTCAACATTGTGAAAGAAGAAATACATAGGATAATAGAAACGCTGTTGCAACAACACATGCAACTAAACAAAACAAAGTGGCAATTGTAAGTAGCAACATTCTGTTGATCAGACACTTTCGTTAGAAATTAAAATATTAAGGGGTTACATTAGTTTGCCACATGCATCACATGGTACATGTGCGAGTATACAGTACGGGAACTCATGTCAGGTTCATTCTTGCCACTAAACCTGCGCCATGACAGCACTGACTAAAACAAAAAGAAACAACACGTACTTGGTCACTTAGTGAGCAGATGTCCACAGGATAAAAAGTAAATTGTCCGACTGAATTTAAAAGTTGTATCTGTAGTCCATGCTGAGCTCCATGCAATCCACACAGCTCTGCGCAACAAGACACGCACACTGGCAGGGGCGAAATTCTCATGTGTCTTGTCCATAACGACACCATAACTTTAGGGCCTGCCCTCTTGAAATAGTCTCGTCCTTGATAGGGTGAAAAAACTGCCAGTCAAACGACCAACACACCTGATTGGTTAGTATTGGCTTCTTGCTTTGTAAACTTGTGAGGGGCATTTTAACAATTTCGGTCGTGTCTTCGAAGGTTTTCTCACCGCTCTCTTTAAAAACTTTAAAAAACGAGTAGTGGGTTATTGGTGTCGAATAAGATATAAGACCATAGTATTTCAACAAAACGTTTGCAGTATTGAAGTGGATTATGGGGTTAAGGGTCAAAAGCTCTAGACCTACTCTTGAGTCTGACATTTATTCCATATGGCCACAATACAACGGTGACTACTGACAAGTAGAGGTAGGTTCCACTTTATATTAAGGCTTCACTGGAGGACTGGCAGTGGCCCTGTAAAGAAAGTAGTGTAGCTTAAAGCCAAAAGCTTCAACATTATGTACACCACTTTTAGCTTTACTAAATGAAAATGTTTATTTTTAAAGACCATATTTACATTGACAATGGGGCCTATGTCCTTACAATGCTATGGATAGTAAATGTTTTTACATACAGTATCTTCCATTAACTCACCCAACCTAGAAACGTTTCTTTATACTCATCTCTTTGTTTTATTGGAATTAATTTGTCAAGATTCAAGTAAATAAAATGATAAAGTGTTATGTTACTTTCACATAGCCAAATAAGCATTTAACCAAACTAACCCTTAGTTGTTCAGTACATTTGTTTAGTCAATATGAGTATCAATATGTACATTCTATGTAGATTTTTTTTTTTTTTAAAACGTTAACTTCTGCTTCAGAGGCCTTATACAACAACACGTTACAGGTGAAAAAAGTGATAATGTTTTATTATATTGTTGTCATATTATATTTGTTTAACACAAATGGTAATTAACCCTTTCACGCATAGAGGCTACAGTGGACAGCTTTTCAAAAGGTGTTTTCTTGTATATGCATGGGTGTTGATGGCATGGTTGCACACTAGGACCATATTGCATCATCCCATACACTGCCAGTCAGTGGAAAGTCAGTGTAAGTGTATGATACATTTCTCTAAACCAAGATGGACGACAGAAAGCCAGATGGACCGAATCACTCGTCGATATCTTGCCAATTATTTTATGGAAAGCGCCCCCTGCAGGTATAACAATGTTGGTGACATCAAGTAACAACTAAGTAATCATATAATTCATAAATTGTCAAAGTATTGATTTTATGTTTGCAGGAAATTATGATGAATCACCTGTCCACTAAAGTGGACGTCATGCATCACTGGCTATATTTAAACTACAATTCATACTGTTACTGCTACTGTTGTTCTTGAAAATACTTCATTTGCAAAATCTTTTTGGGCCTTAAATCAATATACTTATGTTATTATAATGTAGTTTTAAGTTTGCACATCTTTATTTATCATTTTTTCCAAATGTACATGTCTGCAGTTCAAACTTTAACGCATACTGTCCTCTCATATAAAACGTTTTTTTTCTAAATTTGAAAAAACTAGATAAAAAGAAACTAAAGTTAAAATCTTGTTTGTCATGCCCCAAGGGCAATAAAAACACTTGGTAAAAAAATCCTGACTGAGGTTTTCATAATTCATGCATGAAAGGGGTACATACTATGTACACTTAAAGTTGCATCTAATATTCTTATTAATGTTATACATAATCATCACAATACATGCTAAGCTATAGGCCTGCTTTGAGAAAACTGAGTCTAAATATGAGTATTGTGCACTCCAAAAGGCATTGTGTAGCTGAGGTTTCATATAGCCTACTAAAAGGACATCGTCCACCATAGTAGCTTTTCTCTTTCTCATTCACTCTCTTTTGCCTGGAACAAGACTGTCTGCTGGCATTAGGAAACATCCCACTAGCATATAGGTCTCTGATTACAGCCCATTGCAAATAAAAGCACCAGCCCCGGGGCTTTTTACCTGTCTATCAAGATGCATTTGACCAGCCCTTGCGGTGGAGTCATGAGAAGTCATGGAAAGATTGTAATTGTTCTACACCTCAAGGCTTTATTCAAAACGTTGACCGACTGTCCTCCTGAAAGCACACAGACACATTTAAAATCCATCTCTCCCTCCAGATGTGTGTTAAAGGATGACACATGCTAATCCACTGATAGTGTGATCTGCTTACGCACAGCCCTTACATTGGAAGGCAGGAAAGAGGGGTGGAGAGACATACACTTCTTATATTTGTCTGCATGTTTAATTGTGGTCACTTTTCTTTAAAATCAGTGCTAACTAAACTACAGTAGATAACACTGACACTGTGTTTTAAAGTAGCATTGCACACTTTTGAGGTATACTTTTACTTGAGCATTTCCATTTACTTTCTACAATTCACATATTGTACTTTCTAATGCTGTACATTATTTTACAGCTTTAGTCACTTTACAGCTTTTACAGATTCAGGTTTTAGTTGCAAAATATAACTCAACTAATACATACTGACAAGATATTGAACATTACTCGGCAGTGTATAGAGCAAAAATAAACAGCTCCATCTTTGGTAGGTGCTTTCAAGTAATGAAAAAAGTGATTGCATCGAAAATAATAACAAAGTTATGCTACAAATTCTAAAATGGGCCATTCTGCGTAATGAGAACTTTTATTTTTGGTACTTTAGGAATATTTTGATTAGGGAGACCAGGGACAGTTGCAACACGGGTCGGTTGTAACACCTTCAATATCTCCAATCACAAACTAGCTAGAGTGATGAAACTCACTCTGCACATGCGCAGTTAGATGGTATTATCGCTGAGAAAAAAAGGAGCCACGTTTGAATTTCTCGCGTAAGATATCAGCAAAAGTGTGTTTCTGAGGTAAAATATTAACTAAAATGATATGATGTATTTTTTGGATACTGTCTTGACTTCAAATGTCTAGGAATCCAAACTAGTATTATTAGAATCACTGTTTTGTAAGCTACAAATATAACTAGCTAAATATGGGTCAAGCTAGCAATCAGGCAGGTTCACAGGGGGTGAAAGCAAGACTGGTGGTCCTGGGATGGTTGTAACGGGACGGTTGTAACATGGCACATTTACAATGATGGCTCATTTGCTTGAATGATCAATTATTCATTCAAGCATACAGTTGTATTGTTGATTGGTGTGCATTGTCCCTGTAAAAATAAACAGAATAAAATACTGTACAGTAGGCCTAAAGTGTGTGTGTGTGTTTACAGTATGCCAAATGTCAGAAAGAGGAAGACAGACAGGGGAGTGCCACTTGCTCTGCTGCAGAGGGCCTCAAATGAAGTTGAGAAGGGCAAATCATTCAGGGAAGTGGCAAAGTCCCTGGACATATGCCATGTCACCCTGTACCGGTTCCATACAAAGAGGCTGAGGTTGGAGAGTCAGGGATCACACACACCCCCAAGAGTAGGCTACTGGACACCAAAGAAGGTGTTCTCAACAGAGCAGGAGATGCTTTTGAGAGACTATCTGATGGAGGCAGCTGATTTATATTATGGTCTCAGCTCAAAGGAGGTAGGTCTACATAATTAAGGTAGAAGCACCTCTCAGAGAACAGTTTAATCCTTCACAGAGGATGATGCTGTGTGTTATCTGTTATCCTGTTCATTGTTCATTGTTTGTTGGAGGATGTGTGAGTGAAACCCCATTCAAATCTTGTTGCCTTAGAATTTGACAGCTTTCCCTATTTGTTGTCATGTAATGTGAAAAAAGGTAACCGTTATTAACATGTTACAACCGTGCCTGGCATGTGCTACAACTGTCCCTGTACACAAGGACAGTTGTAACAGTTGAGTTTTAAAAAAAAAATACATTTTCCAACCTGTACTTATTTCATAAAAACATCTTAAATAGATTGTTTCAGTAGCTGACATATTGATAATGTATAATATAGCAAAATGGCTATCCTATTGTAAATGTTTTTTTACTTATTGGGGAAAAGCCCAAAAAGTGTTGCAACTGTCCCTGGTCTCCCCCTACATAGACTTTTAATTGAGTATGATATTGAATGGAATACTTTTACTTTTAACAGAATATATCTACATTGTGTTGCTGCTACTGTTTCACAGGTTAAGATCTGAATACCTTTTTCACCACTGCATACCACCACTCTCTAATCTGGAGGCCTGATATCAGTTGTTCATTATGTTTGTGTTTGTCCATTTTCATCATCAGCCTGTAGAGCGCTGCTTTTTCACACTTCACAGCATCAGAGCATGCTTCAGAGGCGGGGCTCTCCGTGACCCAGTTAGAGGTAAAACAAGCTAAGCTTTTGTCTCAATCGTTTCACATTTGGGGGAGACTCTGCCGTGAAAGCAACAATGTCTGACTGCAGGAGGCAGTGGAACCGGGAGGATGAGCTGCCGGTCTACCTGGCTGGGCCGATCCCCACCGGGCCGATCCAAAGGAAAACCTACGGAATGTTCAGCTCCGTGGAGGGAGCGTTTGAAAGCAAGACTATAGACTTCGATAACTACGCGGTTGGGAGGAAAGGCAGCGGCACCCCGAGAAGCGGGCGCCGGGAGAGGGTTTTGGATGCTGGTGATCCCGTCGGCAAGACGTCCAGCGAGGCCCGGGAGGGGTCACTGACCAACTCTCCCGGCGACACGGACGATCAACAAGCAGGTGTGGAGGTCAGATATTCATCGGGGAAGGAAAGCCCAAATGGGGAGGTAGGATTGAGGATTATGCCCCTTGGCTTTTTCTTTTGTCTGTCTATCTTTTTGGTGGAAATAGTGCTCGTTGTTTTATGCATGAACATGGTTCACGTTAAATATGATTTTCATTAAGTGCAGTAAGAAAACTCGCCTATACTGTATATTACAGCTGATGGAGACAGGACTATTCAAAGAAAGAACAATGGAGTGTAGTTGTAACGACTGGATGCATAGATTTGAATGTCTTATTTTTAAAAGGCAAAATGTGTTGTGTTGCAAAACTATCGCCTTAATATTTGTACTTGAACAACCCCTTGGAAATTGTGATTTTGAGATAAATGCCCGAGTTTGCATAACTGATGAAGTTTGTGCTGCATTGCAGTTTGGCCATTTTAGTTTACGTCTACATGGCTCATAAAAAATCTACAAACAGATGCAAATAATTTCGATACAATGAAACTCCCCTCAGTGTGTGGTGCTGAACTGGACAGCGCCAGACAGCGTCCCTCGCAATCCTGTTGTTCTGCTCTCACGTGAGCTGTTTATGTTAGCGCGTGCAGGGGTGTGACAGGAGTAGTCTCTTTCTTTCTCGGTGCCGTTCGGGATTAGCTGGCTTTCCTCACTTGCGCATGCACCGAAAGGTCACCTGTCCTGTCACTGTGCGTGCTCCACGCGTCCTGACGCAGCCGCACGCCGGCGGATTCACCACTGTCCCTTTTACACACACGGAAACTAAAACCAACACACATTCGGTTAGAAGGGGCGGAGATCGTAGGACAGGGCGCCTGAGTCATTGCAACCCGCTACTAAATAGACTGCCAGAGGGCAGAGCGACGGGGAAGGCATGTCTGGGTCCAGTTACCATGAGAATAACGGCATCCACCATCTGAAGGTAAGAGACCCGGCCTGGTCGGTGTGTTGGCCGGAGAAGCTCTCCACTTGTAAATCCCTGCTCCCAATGCCGGCAGAGAAGGGATTACATTCTTAGTGAGGCGACAAAAACCGAAGGAATTTCTCTACTCTCTCTCCAGTGTGAGACAGCCAACTCTAGACAGAGGTGACAGTTCTCTACTGGATGTCTGTGTGTCTAATCGAGCACGTATTCTCTTACGGTTGGACATTGTTGTGTAATCTCGACGCCTGTCAGAGGGATTAACTCGGTTGACGTGACGGTCTATCCAGATCACACATGCAGGAAACAATGACTAGCGTTAAACAACATAAAGGTTTGAGACTGGATTTGTGCAAAGATGCATTCTTTTAAGCTACAATAAAGCATGCATTCTGCAGAAAGTCTCCTCTAAACCTCTCCAAAGTAGGCCTATTATAAAACACAAAATAAATCCAAAGGCATGCTACTGACTAAGCATTCAGTTTCATGGGGAATACAGGAAACAACACATCGATTCATACACAGCATTCAAATTAGTCCTTTTGTAAGCATAATCATTTTTGGATAACTTCAGCGAGCTGTCAGCAGCTGTCAACTGAGCCATAGGATCATTGGTTACCATGGAGATGTAACATCCTCCTAAAGTGGTTGCCAGGCAGGCAGCCTTCATGGTGGTAGAGTGTGTGGACGCATGGAAGTCTGGGTAAAAATGTGCTAGTTTTACACGGTGCCTCTAAATAAGCAGTCAAACCTCATCCTGCACAGAAGCAAATTGAAGATGAAGGCAGACAGCCCTGATAGCTATAATGAGAAACCGCCCACTTGTGTGGCTATGTATTTATTTACACCCCATCCATTATATTGTTGTTAAGTCAATGATTACACAACTGATTGTGCAATATATCAAAATGTCAGGATTGATTTAAACCAAACCTTCCCCTCCCTCCTTCCCTCCCTCTGTACTTCTCCCCCTGTAGAGTGAAAGGCTGTTGATCAAAGGAGGGCGGGTGGTCAATGATGACCGGTCTCTCTATGCAGATGTATACATTGAGAATGGACTCATCAAGTGAGTATAAAGAGTTATTTAAATAAGGAGGCATACAAATAGGGATTTTTACAGAATATATAAATATCTTGCAGTCAATAATGATTTCACTTTCTTATTTCCCTTTTCACTACCCATTTCACCCACAATCACCCCTGTGTCTCATGTGTCTGGTCCTTGGCAGGCAGGTGGGGGAGAATCTGGTTGTACCTGGGGGTGTCAAGGTGATAGAGGCTAATGGCCGAATGGTGATACCGGGGGGGATAGATGCCAACACCTGTCTGATGAAGCCATACCTGGGAACACCGCCTGCTGATGATTTCCTCCAAGGCACCAAGGCTGCACTCGCTGGGGGCACCACCATGATCAGTGAGTGTGGATGCTTAGACAGACACATATACAGTCACAGTGAATACTGTTACAACATTATCTTTCAAGCGATGAAATACATTAGGTACGCTCTTCACATCTTAACCTATGACTCTTTTTTTCTTTCAGTTGACCATGTAACCCCGGAGCCCGGGGAGAGTCTGCTGCAGGCGTTTGAGTGCTGGCAGGAGGCTGCGGATAAAAAGGCATGTTGCGATTACTCCCTGCACGTAGACATCCCCCAGTGGGATGAGAATGTTAAAGATGAGTTGGAGCTGCTGGTGCAAGAGAAAGGTACATACGTTTGTAATGACTGCATGCTGTTTTATAGCTGTGGTCAATGCTGTAGTTCTTGTTTCATGTTCATCCCTATTTTGGACCCATTTCACTTGAACAACAGGGAGAGATTATGGCCTACTGTAGTGCTGAATCCTCTTATAGCGGAGGCGCAGTAGTAATCCATTGTTCTCTGCGGTGCTGTCATGGTGGTGGTGTGTCAATTCTTCTTGTAATCTGTTTTAAGTAACAAATCACTTTTCTTAT